CATAAATCTTTAAATTTTTTTCTAAATCACAATTATGTCTTAATGACAAAATGTTGTGAAAAGGCATTTTTGCCTAAGTACTATTTATACAAAGGTTGCGAATATGCGGTTCAAACTAAACCAATCAATAATTTTACTATTGTCTTACAATATCTCACTTGTTTTTTAGGATTTTCTTTTATTTAACAAATTTAAATAAATTAACTTCAGTAAAAATGGCATTATTATTTTAATAAGAAAGCAATTCAGTCTTAAAATTATATTAAAAATATAACATACAATGTATTTATTTCAGGATGTCTCTTTCGGCAGTTGAAAAAACAGGAACTTATGCGCTAAGATTAACAATAAATACTTGTTATTCCTTTAATTAGTTGTAGTTGAAAAACGTAGGCTTACAAGTTCACAAGTTTGAATAACATTTAAATTCACTTATACTTCGATTATAACACATTCATACAATTTGAAGTCTCGCAGCTTAAAAAGTAACAGGTTATTTTAACATAAACTTTGGTAGGAATTAAGCCCAATTATAATTATAGATAGTACTCAACGGTGTACTTAGTCAACCATCAATGTAAGCAAAGGTCGCAAGATGGAAGCTTGCAAATAATAGATTTTTGTTCTCTTCTCTCTCACCCTACAATATTCTAAATGATTTTCTTATCGAAATTTCATATATCATTTATAATCATTTTTTATTTGACGAGCAAATCGTATAGTCTTCCATTATAAATTTTTTTCTAATTCAAAAGAGTCTCTGAAGGATCGAAGGTTGTGAGATGGCGTTATTTGCTGAATGACTAACTTATACGAAAGTTACGAGTTTGCGGTTGAAATTGATAGATTAGTTATCTGTTCATTGTCTTACGATACCGATTTATGTTCTATAACTTTTGTTTTGCAGTGTACTTAGTCAATCTTCAATGTAAGCTAAAGTCGCAAGATGGCAATGTGCGATTAATAAATTTTTGTCCTGTTTTTGCTTCGACGCAACAGTATTCTAAATTATTTTGCTTTCACAATTTTATGAATCAGCTGAAATGATTCCTAATTTTCAAGAAAACTGTATAGTCTTAAACTCTAATGTTTCTTATAAATCAACATTACTTCTCAATGATCATAGCTAAAAAGATGGCGTCTTTGGCTAAGACATTAATAATACAAAGGTTGCGAGTTGACGGTTATAACGAAACGTATTTATAACTTATCAATTGATTATTCAACATAATTCAATTGTTTTTTTATAGTATTCCTGTTATTTACCAAAAGTTAATAAACTAATCTTAGTAAGGAAGGCATTTTATTGGAATGCAAAATAACCTAAGAATTATGTTAAAAATGGTAACATACAATGTCTTTGGTTTAGGATGTCTCTTTT